GTAAACCTTATTTTTTTTTTCATGATTGGTCTTTCAACATTTCTATGATAGTTTTTTTCTGCATCAACCTCATGTCTTCAACATGCTTTCCCTTTACTTGGTGTAGAAGCCAAATCATCTTTTGGGATATTATGATGGTTTAAAGTAGTAACTGCTTAATCTTTCCATCCTGCCAACAATTGTATTTGAGTAGAATTCTGAGTCTGAGTCACTGGATAGAACATGTAATTAACACGACTAATAGAAGAACTCTGATGTGTGAAAATTCTGGTCTTCAGTTTATATATCTATAAAATGAAAGAATTGGAAACATACCTCTAAGGGGCCTTCCAACTCAGACAGTCTAGGATCCTCAAAACATTTTACTATTATAAACCCCCTTCTTCCATCAGGTTCTTATTTGTCCTTATAGTCCCCTTCCTCTACTTCTACACCATTCTGTGAGATTTTGATATTTACTAACATTGAAGAGTAAGAAGTGGGAATGGAGGCCAATACAGCTGGTTTCCTCGAGGATAGAAAGTCAAAACAAAATAACTTATAATTGTAACAGAGTAAATGTCTCTGATTCCATGTTGTTCAAACCTGCTTTTTCCCATGGGCCCTCAAGTAAATAACTTCTTGTACATAGACATGCTAATCAATGGAGGAATTGTGCTTGCAGCTTAAGTTTTACCAAAATAACCCCTCGCCAGAAAACGCTTCTCCCAGGGAGATAAATGAAGTATGTATTGTTTATCAAAGATTTGCAGGCATCTCCTGACCAGACTCACATCAACTAGGATCAACATACTAAGTACAATCTTTCTTGAACACCTGCTGGTGCTCAAATATCTGTGATCATCAATCACCTCTTGCCCCTTCCATTTGCCATTCTTTTGACATAAAAGAAGCCTAGCCCAGCCAAGCATGGCTCAGCAGCTGAGCATTGATCTAGGATCCAGGAGATCAAGGTTTGATTCCTGGTCAGGGCGCATGCCTGGGCTGGGGGCTCAATCCCCAGTAGGGGGTGTACAGGAGGCAGCCGATCAATGGCTCTGTCGTCATTGATGTTTCTATCTCTCTCTCTCCCTCTCCCTTCCTCTCTCCGAAATCAATAAAGGTGTGTGTGTGTGTGTGTGTGTGTGTGTGTGTGTGTGTTTTAAAGAGAAGAAGCCTGAACTCTGTATTTTCTTAAGATGGATTTGAGGCACCACTAAGTCTCCCATCTTCTTGGTTGGTACCTTCTTGATCAATAAATCTTTTCTTACTCTAAACTCTGATGTTTTGAATTTTAGCCTTTTGAAGCATAGGGCACATGGACTTTGGACCAGTAACACAGGGACAATGCTGTTTCTCTTTCCCTTTTTTATTCTGTTCTACTGGTAGTTCTTGACTTGGTGATCTAATGAAGCCTGTTCAAATTCTTTATCTCTATTTTTACCAAAGAAGTTTTAAAAAATTGCTATTGCCCGGGCGGGCATGGCTCAGTGGTTGAGCGTCAACCTAGGATCCAGGCAATTGAGGTTCGATTCCCGGTCAGGGTAGATGCCCAGGTTGTGGGCTTGATCCCTCGTAGGGGGCGTGCAAGAGGCAGCTAATCAGTGACTCTCATCATTGATGTTTCTATCTCTCTCTCTCCCTCTCCTTTCCTCTCTCTGAAATCAATAAAGATATATTTAAAATAAATAAATAAAAATAAAAAATTGCTATGATGGTTAAATAGAATAAAAAAATTTGAAATCTCTTACAGTACTCAATAAGCATTATAGTACATGCCACCACTCAATATTTGCTAGTTGGACAGTGCCTTATAGAATACAAAACAATTATCATTAATTATCCTCTTGTTTCTTATGAAATTATTGCTACCTAAAGATTAGAAAGCTGGCGCAAAATGCTTAAAGACAAAGAGCTAGTGCAAGGCATGGTTTACACTTAGAGTATGATTTTGGAAAGAAAGCTACCAAATCTTTCCTTGCTTAAAAATTTGACATCATTCTGTACCTGGGATTGTACCCCTACCTTGAAAATTTGATCATAGCAGGTCAGTGAGAAAGAAGCAGTCTTCTTACCCTGACAACATAACTTTTTTTGTAATTCTCCCCTTATTTCCAGTAATACCTTATTTTTCTACAATTTCAAAATTACCAATAGTGATTATATATGAAAATCTACAGTTCCATTTGAGACATAAATTTTCTTTCTGACTTTTAGCTAGAATTCCTGAGCAGGCTTTTTGCCCACAAAAGATGGCAGGCTCCTTAGGGCAATTCTTTTAACTCTGTGTCTAATTGGAAACAAGTCTGTGTTGTGTAATGGCAGGACCTTAACTTGGAATGTATTTTGTAACAATAGCAAAGAATGGTGAAAAAACCCCTAAACGAAGTCTTAGGAAACTATGGCTCTTACCAGCTCTGCCCTGTGTACAGTGACACTTTGGGAAAATCCTGGTCCTTTCTGAGTCTCAGTTTTCCCATCTCTAGGAAAAAAAACCAGTGTGTTATAGCTTCCAAGAGCCTTTCTAGCTCTGACATTCTATAGTTTTCGGGCCTTAAACTACTATTCCTTCATACTCGCTGATTGGTGCTTTTACATGTTAGTGAAATAATGTGGTAGGTGCTAAAGTTCCCTAGAAGTCATGGGACAATACTTGGCGGAGCCTCTGTAGCTAAGGATGTGTTCTGCTGAGAATGGGGGAGCTAATTTGATGCCTCTAAATTAAAGAAGCCATAGCTCAGAGGGTTCTTATGGATCCTATATCCTTGACTGGGTGAATGCTAGTAGTGTCATGACCATAGCTGTCTACACCATTCACATAGAGTGAGTGAGGCCATGGAATGTCACCATCTGGAGATACTCTAAAGAACATATGGGGGCACATTCAGAAAAAGATAAACTCTCCCATGGTCACACAGCATTAAGTGTCAAGACCAAGGCATGAGACTGGACTACCTGATATCCTGTTCACTGTATTTTTTTACTCTACCTTACATGATTTCTCTCATAGTAAGCATAAGTAACTGTTAATAAAACATTCTTGGCCGTAAAGGCGTCCATATTCTCCACAATGGCCTTAGTGACATTTGACATAAGAGAAGATGATAGATTTTCATAGTACTCTGATTCTAAAAGCTTTTCTGAGATGCACCACCTTAGTTTTACCTTTGGAGAGACTATTTAGTTCTAGATTTATCTTTGCATCTATCACCTCTGAAGCTCAGGCGGGAAGGTTGGCTGAACTTGTATATTTATAAGTATACTACATCTCTGAGGAAAGTCATGGGCATACTCAAATTGATTTTCTATTTAGAAATAAGGTCCCTCTTGAATTTCATGCTTAAATTTCATTTGGGGTTTCCCTAAGGTGAAGGAGTATAAAATGTACTTATTAGATAAGCTATCTTGGCAGATTTTCATCCCCTTTGGATAAAAGCAAAATTGCACCCAGTACATAAATTGACATACAAAGCAGTAAATAATTCCATTATGCAAGATGTTTTAATGGACTCAAGCCAGAATGCTCCATTAACCAGCATATATAGAATACTCACCGAGCTTTGGGAAAAAAATAAAGGGAAGTATAGGGGCAATGATAAATGTCAGTAAAGCACCTGAGAGGGTGAGGGGTTAGAAAGGGAACTTTAGAAGTATGTACACTGTTTTTCTTTCTTTCTCTTCTTCTTATTTTTTCATTGCTTTTCTTTCTGGGCAAAGGATTAAGTACCAAAAAAAGTTGGTGTTAGCTTTCAAATCATCAAAAATGTGAAAACTACGCAGCAGAATGTGCCAGGATCTTTTCTAACTTTCCTTTTGTAAGAAGCAGCTGAGGGACCAGCCAATTGAAAGAGGAGTGTTGGGTGTGGGGTGGTGTTTACACACATCTCTACATGGATAAACATTCAGAAACCACAATAGCATTCCCCGAGGAATCTATCCTTAAAACAGGAAGTCACAGCTTTGTGAAGGGACCACAATTAAGCTCCAGTTTTTCACTCTAGATCCCAGGATTTAATATCTAGAAGAAACAGGACCTCTGCAATGTTTCACGGGGCTATTTAGAATTACAGGTAACTTAGTTTGAAAGCGTGTTGTATGCAAACCTTCTGAGCTTGGCTTTACCTCTAGGGATCTCTTTGCAATCAGAGATGCCTAAAACCACAAACCATAAATTCTGATGTGCATATGCAAAAGTAGAGACCACAGAAATTACAATTTTGTTAATCAGTGTGGCCATACTCCCCTGCCACAACTTTCTTCCCGCCACTCCCAAGATGACTTTCTCTTGCTCTGCACTTAGGTTTACCAGATGATTTGACCAAGCCTGGGCTATCCTAGAGAGTGGCTGCCTGCCACATACTGTGGTTCAGGACTGCGACTTTAGTAGAAAGGGCAGGGACAGTGTCCCTAGGAGCTTGGACATGTTTGTTGCTTAAATTTTTTCAAATGGAATGCATGAGGAGAATAGAGAATCGTGTGATATAAAAGTTGAGGTTATAGAACATTTTGAATTAGTCATTGTCCTTCTTAAAGATCATATATATCTCCCTATTTGGGAAATCCCAAGTTTTTTCTTAGTTCTTGCTTGTAGTTACAGCTCTGAAAATTGCGGTCATCCCCCTGTTTCTTTGAAATCGTCTCCCACCGTGACTGTTTCTGTTCCTATCCCACCACCTTGATTCTTCTTTCTTTCTCTTTTAACTCTTACCATTAAAATGCTGTCGTGAGGTCCGTGTTCAAATGTCCAGCCTTGGAGTCCACCCTGAACCCCGGAATCACATTTCCAACTAGGTGTTTCCACATGGAATTCTCAGCCACGCTTTGAGCTCATCATGTTTGAAAGCAAAGTCTTCCTTTTCGTCTCCTATATTTTTGGAACAATTTAACTAGTTGATAGTTAAGCTGGTTATCACAGCAACCATACAAAAGCTGACCGAGATATTACATCTTTTTTCCACCCTCTCCTTTTTGTTTTTTTCTAATGGAAATGGCTAATCTGAAGGAAAACCCCTTTCTTGTAGGAGAGAAGGAGAAGGCCTTAGGGTCTACTGGGGGAGCCCGGAGCAGCAGTCCCTCTTGTCTCGTTGGAACCCATGGTCCACTGAAGTGCCTTACGCTACCTTCGCTGAGCACCCTGTGAGACACACCAGTGAGAAGTTCCTTGAAATTTGCAAGGTAGGAAGCGTGTGGAATTCACTCTTGGATTAACTTTGTTACTAAAGTTTTGTGCTTCTAAAACTGTATAGTTAAAAAGATGATAAGATACATCCTAGGGTTTATATAGGTAAAAACTTGAATAGGTTTATATAAGACTTTTTTTTCAGTAAACAATGGTTTACTAAACAATGGTTTGCTGTTTTATATATAAAAGTATATATAATATTTGTATTAATCATACCATGCTGTTTCCTTCTTTCTAATTTCTTAGCAAGAAATTATAGTGTAACATTGTTTAAAAATTGTAATACATGTGTTTGTGTTTATTACCCAGTGGGGGCATATAATTTTTTTATATATAATTAAATTCTAATGATTTTATTAAGAGGAGTATGGATAGTGTGAAGTATGAAATATGCCCCTGTGGTCATATTTAAGTCAGTTTTCTTTCTGGGCCTTGGTAGTCTTATCTCTAAATGGAAATAATGAACATTGACCTTCCTCTCAAAATCATTGGGATATTGTAAGGTTAAATGAGATAATGTGTATAAAAATGTTCTATAAACTGTAATTAGTAGTATTTTTATGTCTTTAAATGTCATCTCCCCCAGCAGATTTTAAATTTATTGGTGGCAGGGAGAGCCCCTTTTACTATTCTTTCTCCTTCCCCAGGGAAACTTAAGTAGTGCTAGAATAGTCTAAGTAGTCTAAATAAAACAATTGGAGCCATACATGCAGTGAAAGATCAAACGTTACATTTTTCAACAAAACCAGAGAGACGTACAAGTATATTTATAGGCTTAGAAATTATTGCCTTCTCTGTCCTTTCTATGTTTGCCTTTATGTGTTGGCATTCACTTCAAAATATCACAACTCTTCATTTGATATAAATCCAGAACATGATAACCTGCATCTAAAGTCTTCTGTGGTTGGATGGCATACATTACATTTCTTGCATTATTTTAAACACACTTATTCATACAAGTGCATATGTATATGCATAAACAAATATTTGATATTGATGTCCTCTATTCTGAAAAGAATGTGAGACAAAATATATGTGATTAGAGGCTGAATGGGCTCTTCAGCCTCCTTTATATATAGATGAAGTTGGCTCAAATCCCATTCTGCTCTCAGGAAAAGTCAATGGTCCTCTCCAGATTTATGCAATCATCCTCAAGGATTTATGGTCTCAAGCTTACCTCTGGCTCCAAGCTATTGCAGGCACTAAATTAGTTCATTGTATGGATACTGTTCCTACTCTTCCTGCTATAATCCTATTTCACAATACCTCAACCCAAGCAACAACATCAGCCCCTAGCCTGACTCTTTACCACCCAAAGTCAACAAAACAAAACAAAATGAAAACCAATAAGAACAACGTAACACTTATACAAAGGCATTTATGTGAAAGCAGGCTCACTGAGGGCTTCAGGGAGGGAGAGTGGGAGTTTACATCATAATAATGCTCCAAACTTCAAATGGAATATCAGATCTCCATGTTTTTACAAGACCTTATTAATAATAATACTCTAATGCATTGCTCCATAATCCTCTTTTCTCTTCTATCTTGCTCTTGCCACACCCCAAAATCTTGTTTTATTTTTTCTTATTAACAGCACAGAGTAATTTATCTGTTTCTTTTTTAACACCTGCTATTCCAACTCAAGACCTTAATAATGTAACTTTCCAAAGCCATTCCCCACCTTTAAAGGGAATCTAGTTCTAACCACTAAAATAATATATATTTTTGAATTAATAGTAATTATATTTTACTGTAAGTCAAAATAAATACCAAATTAATAAATAGATACCAACAATAACATTTGTGACTACATCCATCACTTCCCAGGCCAACTCTTCTCTTATTCCTCATACCTGGTACATTAAGTACTTATTCCTTGAATGTCCTTTGCTAGAAGAAATTTAGGGTGAAGAATTAAATAACAAGTTCTGTTAACTGCAGAAAAATGGCACTGTGTTACTCTAATACCTTTAGTGCTTTGGTTTTTTTCTCTTACATATAAATACAATCAATAATTTAAGAAGGAAAATGAAAACTAAAATATTGAAAGGGGGCTGGAATAATTATTTCCCAAATAGCTCTTATTGGATAGAGGTAAGAACAGTAAGGTGGGGTGTGTGTGTATGTGTGTGTGTGTGTGTGTGTGCATGTGCATCCCCACATCTGTGGACTTGAACATAATGAGTGGTCCACTGGATGTGGTTGGTTGATTTTCAGTCAATCAGACTACTTTGTGGACCTGTTAGGTGTGTTGCTTTTAAGGCTTTTCTTGGTTATTCTTCCAAAATCTTTTTTTCCTTTCTGGCAACAGTCTGCCTTTCTCTTTTGCCAAGCCATTTCTTAATTAAAGACCACCCCAAGTCCCAGCTCTCTAGGAAAACAAGCAATCTCCATCTGGGATGTGCGATGATGAATATTCTGATCCAGTTCTTAGAGTCTTAGTTTTTCTTTTGTTGTTGGTTTTTATGTCACAATATTATTTATGTTTAGGATATTTTCCAAGATTGGCTTTGATTGAGACCCAGTTATATTAATGTAAAAGAATAAATAAGAAGAAAGAAGATAATTCTGGGGATATGCAATACCTTTTATGTGAATATTTTGGCATAACAAAAGATGTTAAAAGGGTAATATAAACTAGTTTTTCCATTTCTCTTATGAATGAAACAATACAAAGTAGAAGAATATGGGGGAAAGTGTATAACTAAATCAAATACCTGAAGCAATTTAACAAAACTACTATGACATGAAAGGGAATCAATCATGTAGAACTGAGTTACATTCAGTCAAAAATTTCAAATTATTTACAACTTATTATTTAAAAAAAAAAAAATCCAAGTTTATTTTTACTAAGAACCATTTCCTCTACAGCTCCTGGAATCTCTTTTATTCAACAAATATTTTCTAACACCTACAAAGCACAGGTATTATGACTATTGTTAAGGACACAAAAATCAGTGAAATAAGATTCTTCCTTTTGTGGAATGCATTGCTTAACAGAGGAGGCAGATAAAAATGCAAAGGTTTTTAAATGAGTACTGATCAACTTAAACAGAAGTCTAGGTCAAATGAAGGGGAGTGAAGGCACATGAAAGTGCAAGGAATGCTCTTAGGCGCAGAGTAATTCAGTTCAGCTGGAGTTTAACTTACATATTTTCTGCCATAATTTTAATAGTTCAAAAAATATAGGGTGGGGCAAAAGTAGGTTTACATTGTTCTTATGGAAAATAATACAATAATAAGTACTAATTCAAAAATAAACTCTGTGTTTCATGTCTTCACAACTGTAAATGTACTCCGCCCTGCCCTGTAGGTATGTGGGCTTAAGCTAAGGAGCAATAGGAATGGAGAGAATGTGAAGACATTTGGAGATACTCAGAATATAAAATCAATGGAAAATAACTGACAGGATACAGTAGGTGAAGAAGAGGCTGTTTTGAAGATGACACAGTTTCTGGCTGTGTAGATTACATTAATTTAAATGGGGAAAATGAAGAGTAGGTTTGGAGGTTCAGTTTAGGACATGAATTTGAAATGTCCATGAAACATGAGGTAGAGTTGGCTGTCAGGCAGTTAGAAATTGGGTCTGAAGCTCAGGAGAAAAGGTTAAGCTGGTGACAGAGGTTTTAGATTATATGACATTGAGCCAGAACTGAGTCTTGGTGTTGATTAGTTAGGAAGTTACCCTAGCAAAGAACATTAATGGCCATAATGGCATTCAAATTCTAATTTATAGTATCTCTTAGTCTCACTGATCTAAAAATCACAATCAAATTTATGCAATACTATGTCAAAATACATCTTTTTAAATCCATGTCATTCATTATAGCACTTCTACATGTGGCAAATATGGTCAAATGGTCTCTTTCCAGATATTCTTGCTTATCTCTGAGCCTCACCAACACTTTCCAATCTGTGAAGGTACTTACTTTGCATTATTCATATAAAACAGTTGTGAAAATAGAAAATAATAGTTTTTGGCATTGATTATATTTTTACAAGACATAAACATGATCTCATGTAACATCATGTAATTATATACTTTAGGTTTATAATTAAACATACAGTTTTCATGTTTTCATGTAATTCCCTCACAAAAACGCAATGCAGTCAGGATAGCAATCTCTGTTTTAAAACGAGGGTACATAGAGTGATTGAGCTGACTAAGGTATTACAGTAAAATAGCTCTATTTCTGCACCAAAACAATTTGCTAATACACAGAGGAATGTGTTTAAATTTGAAGGAACTCTGTATGTGTATTCATGTTCATTGATGTGATATGATAGACTGTATTATACATTACGACCAGGCTAAACTACCCTCTATTGTTTCATTAACTTAACATTTGCAACTTGTAGCACCATCTCCCCTCTGTTCACTGTTGCTTTGTTGGGTGCTTGGGGTGTGTGGAGAGTCTTGCTCTGAGTGACCGGCGAGAGCCCAGAGCTGGTGAATAACAGAGAATGGATCACAGGAGCTATCCAGCCAAATCAAAGGGGTCTGCATCCCAACCCTCTTTAATCTTTTCCCGCATCTTTACCTTTCTCTTCAAGGAAACTCTGAAAGTGAATCACTAGTTTAGCAATGAAATGTAACGTTATGTGCTTAGCCCCTTGGGTTTTCTTCACCAGTATTCCTTGAGTTTCTATCTGGCATTGAGCACTGCATGCTGAGCAATTTGTTAGTCACCTGGGATAACAATAAGGACAGGCAGATGTTGCCCTCTCGATACTTTAAGAAGAAAGAGAGAAGGTTAAAGAGAGGCAATTAACAAATTATAATTTAATGTGTTAAGGCTGTTGGTAGAGGGATCCACAAGGTTTTATGGAAGCCCAGGATGAGGGGACAGGTAAATCCAAAAGTTAACAGGTGAAATTACATTGGATATGAATCTCCAGATGAGAGTGATTTAAGCATCAAAGAAGGTGGAGAAAGACATTTTAAGTAAAAGAAACATAGTTAGAAGATGCAAATTAGAAAAGGCGTTTGAAA